GGAATATAATATTCATAGATATATTTTCATTTGTGCATAATCACCTGAACATAAGAGTCGTGTTTTTCTTACCTTAGAATGAGCCATTTTTATCTACAGAGGGAGCGTTTTCTCCATGTTGAAATGCCATGTTTCTACAGTAGGGTGAACTATCACATGATAGATTAGTTTAATTTAGTCTTTATGTGAGGAACCCGGGTAGCTCACCTGATAGAGCTGGCACCCAATGTACCAAGGCTGGGTCTTTGGGTTCGACTACTCCCCGTTTCCTGCCACTCTTCAGATGTCACTATTGATTAAAGGCAATAAAAAAAAAACATAAAAAAAATCAGTAAATTAATTGAGTCTTTATGCCAGTTTTTGTAGTTGCAGTGTTTGTTATATAACACTGCATGAGTGTCTAAATAAAAAAATAAAAAATAATCTTATTAATTAGACATAGGCAAAAGCATTTGTAAACAAATGACATTAATTATGCTTTTTATTTACCTTTTGTCTTAAGTCAAGGTAAATCAATCTGATTAGCCTAATATAAACACCAATTTGATTACATTGGCAGAACTGCACATGTATCACTTCCACTTCCTGTCTGAGGTCTCCTGTATTTAAAATCACACATGTAGCGTTCTTAGCTCTAACAGCCCCCCCCTCACCCTACATCCGTCTTACTTGGGTAGTTTAGACCGGCTCTTGTTAATTGAGTCTAATTGAAGAACATGAAGGGGGAATAAAGCAAGCAGGCTTTTAGGACATAAAAGACCGCAGCCGCCTCTCAATAGTATTTATTTTCAACCTCTTCCACTCTGATTTAAGTGTAAGAGGACAATAGTGGTCTGACACTGATATGTGTGTGTTTGTGTGTGTGCGTGTGTGTCTGTGATCTGTTGTTTGATTTAGTGCGCCCACCTTCACAAGGACCAGCCTCTTATCAGATCAAAGCTGCAAGCAGCGGCCTATGAAAGACATTGTGAGTGTGTGCGCGTGCGTGTGCTTGTGGAGGACAGAGGTGTAGGTGAGGCGGGGGTGTTTTCGTTGCTTTTAACCCAGGACAATGGGACTGCAAAGGAGAGAGCGAGCGAGTACTCTTTGAACTAATGAAGAGGAAACCTTTTACTCTCCTCCATAAAGATACCCAACTCTCCCTGTGCTATGGATTTTGCCTCTCTTTCAAAGTAGAATGAAGCAGAAGAGAACAAAATATTTCATTTGCTCTGTCCTTCTCACTGTTTTGCTCTTATCCTCATGAATCCACAATCCTAGATAAAAAGCCGTACAAAGCAAAAATAAGACTTCAGAATTGGCTGAAGATTATTAGAGCTATAGTACACGAGAGTCTATTGGGGAAGCCAAGGTGTGGACACAAAACTTACCAAAGTGAAATTAATGTTATATAGATTTTGTAGTTTAGATTTTTTCTTTAGTTTATACAACAAGCTAAAAGTGTCACATTTTGTTATTGAACAAAGTCAACATTATTTTATATTGTCCTCAAAGTAATGCATTACCTTGTGTTGTGATTTCCAGGTTCACTGGGTGCAGAGGCAGCACAGCCATTACAGAGACAAACGGGTACCTGCGACAGGACCGGGCCAAAGTAGAACTCACAGTAAGTTTAAGTGATATTTTTTATGGTATTAGGTTTTAACACAAGCCAAAAATATTGTTATGCTGAAAAAGGCCCTCTGAAAACTTCAAATCCAAAGGATTTATGTCTAACCAATGATTCATGACTAGTTGCAGGCCAGGGGAAGTGTGGCAATTAACAACTTAGCAACTGCAGCAATTTCTAAACATTTTTTTCCTCAAAAACTTAATTAATCAAAAACATTTTTTTTTCATCACAACCAACTGTGTAAACACTGTTCATTTTGTACAATCATATTAAAGGAAATATGAAATATAAAGGACAAATGTGAAGTCTTTTTACTGTTTTTAAGAATGTAATTGTAACATTTGATTGTGTATACACTGTTTTCATGTAGATTTAAAGAGTAAAAGCATCAAGGTAAACATACATGTTATTATGACATTTTTAACAGAAAACTTGTCTTGGCTTGTGTGGAAAATATCAACTGAAGTCTGAGCAAAATTTGCCTGTAAACTTACAGCTGTAGAAGAGATGAGTGAATGAGTTGACATCAACATCAGCTGATTCAAATATGCATTGAAGTACGTGACATTATGGTTGTCCGACTGAGTCCCGTTTGAAACTAGTGAGAAAAGCACAGAGGCCAAACATATACAGAAATTTCTCACGTGAAACACAAAAATATTGATTTTCAGGGTCTTTGACTTCTCACCTTACTACAGTGATGTATAGGCATACTCCAGGGTGTGTCTGTACATAGTGAAATCATTGCTGGGTGTGACACATGAATAGACTCACACACTAACAGGCAGGGGAAAATTTCCCAGTGCATAAAGAATGTGATTAAAGTGAAAAAAATAAAGTTCTGGTGAATAAATCACCATGTGTTCCCAGATTTAAAATGACTTGTAGTAAATACATTGTGGTTTTTACAGGTTTTGGATAACTACAGCCCGAGTGTAACAGATCAAATTAGTTTGCAGTGTTAGAAACACACACAGTGGAGGTAATACCAGAAGAGCTTTTAAACAAATCCACTGTATTACTTGCTTTGATAAATCTGTAATATTTGTTTTCCTATTATCACGTATTTACCAGGTAATACCTGGCAGGAGCAATTCTAATATCACCATGTTAATGCTGTATGCAGTAACAGTTAGGTTGCTCACATACCTTGTACTGGAGTCAAGTTAATTCTTACTAATTTTACTCTCTCATCAGTCCATCTTATTATTAATTAGTTGTGTCCCACTGTGTGAGGTTGCATCTTGAGTTAAGTTCTTGGAGGTATTGTTATATAAAGAGTACTTTTTCTGTATTTGTCTGTATGTTGTTGTTTTTTTAAATATGTCTGACAAATACCACAGCAGAATTCATTCCTAAAAGGACAATTAATTGACTAACTAATTAAAAGTTCCCAACTATCTAATTGAATGTCAATAGACAACTGACCAGTTATATACTTTACCTATATATGCACACTTTACACATTTGACCAATTATATATTTTAGTGTTACTGAGAAGTCACTGGTCCTCAAGTAACACTAGTCCGGAGCTAATATATGTTATTGTAATTTTGTCTGATTATCACATTGCTGTCAGTAGTATACATCTAAAACAGAAAAGCATTTGATCGATGTTGAGGAAGAGTTTTATAAAGAAAACATTGCACACTCATGACAGTTGTTGAATCTGTTTGATGTTTTATTAACTTGCATGAATTAATGTGAGAACACTGGATTCTTTTCCAAGTGAAGGTCTCTTAGTTCTTCTTAAGTAGCGGCATGTTCATCCTTTTACATCCTGAAAATTAGAAGTAGCTCTCATATTTTCTTATAGAATTGTGTTGAAAGCATCTACTATCTAGGGTTACAGAAATGACTGAGGTGTATTTAAACATAGTTTTATAGGCTTAAAATGTATCAATGTATGCAAGTGCATATGGCTTTCTGTAAGCCTATACCACATATGCTTTTCTAGATGCCTTTGAGAGATCATTCTGACCTTTATGACAATGAACCTCTCTGATGAAACCAGTATAACAACTGCAGCTGTTTTATGCCTGTTTGATATTTACATCATGCACGATAATGTGTATTATGTGTTATCGTGTGTGTGTAGTGGGAAATGGTGGGTGTGTTTGTACAAGGATGTACTGGCTCACGTCCCGCTGCAGTGCTCTCTCCCTCTCTCTCATTGTGTGTTACCATCCTCACAGTGTCGCTCAGTCTGTGCGCTGATAGATGATATAAAAGCGAGTTAGAGAGAGAGAGAAAGATGAAAAAGCAAGGATATGGTGGATGAACAGTGCAGTTGTGTTTCTTCACATACACGAGAGAGAAAAAGAGAGAGTGCATTTGTATGTTTTGACCAATTTGAACTTTTGAAGTCTATTGCTCCTTTCTAGTATTTTTAGATTGAAGCTGCCAATGTTCAATATTGTGTGCCAGTATTAAATATCTCAAATGTGACCATTTTTGTGCCAAACACAGTTTCTTGGCAGGGTGTTAAAGCCTCATTATGGGACTCTAAACGCCCATAAAAAATAAAGCAACAACTACAATTAGTAGGACCAGTGTATTAGTACTATTAGTGTTTTGGTACACAAGATCAATTTTTGCTACTTCTTCTGTACAGCAGAGAAAACAAACTATAAACATTGAATGGTGGCTCATTTGTCGTAACTATTACTGGAAAACCGAAGGCGCTCAAATGTTGGCATATGGTCAATAAGAAAAATAAACGAATGCCACTATATCAGTAATGCTCCATCATAATAAATAACGCGTTCATTAAATCATTGTTTGTTTAATCTGTATGAAACATGTTAATTAAGCAGCTTTAGAGGTAGTGGTATAGGCAGATTTTTTGACATTTGACCAGAGCCAAGCTAACTGTTTGTTCCGGTTTCCAGAATTTATGCTAAGCTAAGTGTATTGTGCCATGGCTTTAGCTCCATAGTGCACAGACAAGAGACTGGTCTAGATCTTCTTAGCTCATTGTCTGAAATAAAGAAAAGAAGCGTATCTCTATAAATGTTGCATCATTTGTTTTTATTAAGGGCCTGGTCCAAATTGTACTCAGGCTAATGGGGTTGAGTAGTGTCTTAGGTTTATTTCTGAATGTATCTGACACCTGAGTAGATCTGAATAGATACCCACTGCCATCATAATCACTGCGGGAGAGAGTATTGTAGGAAATTATTTTTGATGAAAATAATGATGCTGTTAAGTATCCCAATTTGGTTAAATGATTATCCTCTTCTCTGTCTTGGTACATTCAGTTGTTTCATAAATGAGCCGGGTTCGATCTGATACTTATTTTACCTATACACAGAAATAACAGATGTAGCCTACTGACTTTGGCACATCTTATTTTTCATGCTACTTAATCCAAATACTGAAGGTCCTGTTTCAAAACTATTAAGTTGATACGCTTAAGAAATTGATCTGAATTCAGTCAGAGTTGGAAGTGTGTAACATTTAGGAGGATCTATTGCAGAAATTTAATATAGGTTGAGAGGTTGAGCTATATTCGAATGGTTGCAGTCTGCAATCTGCACCACTAGAATCCTACACACTGGTCCGTTAAATTGACATGACATGAGAGAAGACATCTGACTCTGTTGGGGTTGTTGGAACTACAGAAAAACAAACCCAGACACAACCCAGACACAAATAAAACAAAGTTTTAGTTTTGTTTTGTCATCGTCACTTGTGGAATTAATGTTAATTAGTGACAGTCAATGTTTATCGTTTTAACTAACAAATGTGTTTGCTAAAAATGAGAAGCTGCTTGGTGAATGTGTTGCACACTGCTCTTTGCCACTGAGAAAGAGAGTTGGAGTCGGAGCTTAGTGAATCAGTGTATTTCAGAATTCAGAGTCACTGGGCCCAAAAAACATTCACACACTCTAATTGTGCTCGCACTGTAAAGGAGAGAGGCATTGCAACAGTAGCATGCTGACGTGAACAGCACAGTAGAGTACAGTAAAGGCCTGTTACATCAATTTGAAGCATAAACAAATTATTTTTGGAAATGGTTTCTATGACTATGACTGCGACTGCTTTTGCTCATAGGACATTGCTGCATTTTTTGGCTGCTTGTTATCTAAAAGTGCTGCTGTTGCTGCTGGTGTCCTTTGATAGAGTCTGTTTGGGTTGACTGCATTTTGAACTGGGTCTAATTATTCTTGGGTCTGATTGGATTGGGTCTTACTGTGGTCATGTTCTCCTTTGGATTTCCTTTTGGATCCGGTTTAGATATGTCTCTCATAGGTCTGTTTCGGATCAGGTCCAACATTTTGGATCTGTTAAGGCCTTGACATACAATATATTACAGCGGCACTGTAATATACTCTCTCACATGCTGTTGTCAATGGTTTAGCTTGTTTGATTATTTGTGTTTTTGTCTATCCTACTGCTCTTTGTCCAGTTTTGCTGTACTTTTCTGGAAACTATAGCACTCCCAAACAATGGATCTAAATTACCTCAGTCTTTTCCAGCTCAGGTTACTCATTTGTATTAGCCATACTGACAGCACTCTGTATATGAGTTATACATCAAGAGGCTAATTTTAGAATTTATGTGCGACACATGCTAAGACCTAGACCTAATTAAAGTGTAGTAGGCTAATGTGTCAGTAATTACTTTGTCCAGAGGGAGTACTGAACCACGGAAAGTTGCATACCAAATCGAATGGTTCGGGATCAATACATGTACCATTACACTCCTAATTAATGATAATGCGTGAAATATATTCATGCTTGTTCGTGTGCAATGTTTTATTACGGTCGGTTCAGAAAAGGGGCCTCCCTTTACTCCCCCCCCCCAACTAGTGTGATAGTAATTAATTTTGCAATACATACAGTATATAATGAAAGCAACTGATTCATATCCATCGAGAGAGAGGTTGAAAATGTGAGGAAAGAGAGAAAGAGAATGGTTGAAAATGTGAGGAAAGAGAGAGAGAGAGAGAGGGAATGGTTGGAAAAATGGTGAGGAAAGAGAGAGAGGAGAGAGAGAGAAATGGTTGAAAAATGGTGGAGGAGAGAAGAGAGAGAGAATGGTTGAAAATGTGAGGAAAGAGAGTGGCAGTGAGTGTCACATGTAGTGTATGGAGAGAAAGGTGCAGGCCTTGATGAGCTGATAGCACATCGACAGACAGCAATCCAAGCTGTGCCGCAGTAATGACATGCTAATGATATGCTAATTATATGGTAATCTTCCGGCAGTATTCCACCTCACTGGAGAGAAGGGAAATCTGGGAGGCCTTTCACCATTGGTTGGAGACCAGGGACTTCCTGAAGTCAGAGTTCAAAACAAGAAGAAAAAAAAAAAACTACAGTACACACATACACACATGATGGGTCTGTGTGCTTTCAGGTTCCCAGAGGAGAGAGTCTGCAACTGACAGACAGCCTGAGGAGAATAAGAGTGACCAGTCCCTCACCTTCAATGACCCGCTCTGGCCCATGCAGTGGGAACTGGTGGGTGTAATTGTGTGTGTGTCTGTTTGTGTGTTTTCATTGGTCTTATCTGGAAGCCTCCTCTCTCTCTCCCCTCAGCTCTTGTCCTCATGGTGAAGGATGTTCCTCTGACAGGCATAAGTCAGGCAGGCTTTCATGTGTGACTGGAGAGAGAGACAGAAGATAAAGGGAGGTAGGCAGATAATGGAGAAGGAAAGAGAGCGAGAGCGAGAGGAGGTGAAAGAGGTTGTCCATGTTGAACTGAGACAGATGTCTGGGATTGATGAGGCTCGGGGCTGACACACAAACTCTGCTGCAGCAAGACAAGCTCATCCCTTTAGCAGAATCTTGTTCACATAGTTTGATCAGTGTGTGTTTGTGAGGAACAACAGCAGTACAAAACCAGTATTGTTTGGATATTAAAATGTCATATTTGTTACTGTACAGTACTAGCACAAATAATCAACTTCAGTCCAGGCTATTTAGTAACTGTGTTTATAGCCTTTTCCTCATATATAACTCAACCAGAATACAAATCTAAAACCTCAAATCAGCACCTTGAAAGAACTGGTTAATTTTGAAAGAATCCACCACTCCCTCATTCATTTTTTGTCTTTTCTGTGCAATCCCTACAATTTTTTCTGAGTGGGATCTTTCTCAGAATGGTATTTGACTAAGATATAATGACTCATTTTGTGGAAGTAAACAGTATTCTCATTCTGAAGATTGTTTTGATAAAACTGCTCATGCAAAATTCAGTTTAAAAGTTGAGTTCAGAAGTACACCAGTGAGTTTTGGGCACAAATACCACATTTTACAATAATGATTAATGAATTAATGAAACTCCCTTAGATGTAACAGGAATTAGAGCTAATCCAAACTTCCCCAGACGGATATATCGGCTGATATTATCTTATCGCTGACATATCTTTTTTTGGTGCAAATGTCAACACCAATAAATGCCAATAATAACAAGAAGTTACAGTACAAAAATGCTAATGTTTAATATTATTTAGAAACAGTGTCACCATTACATAAACTGTCAAGTAGAACACACTAAGGTTTATTTTTTATGTTTTCCCTCTTTATTAGTTTTGCACAGTCGTGTGAACAGTCACACGTGTTCTGTAACAACAAGTTTATTTGTTAAGTATAAAATGTCCAGCTCAGTACTCATCTTTGTAACAGTTCCTAATAAACATGTGTTTAGGGGGGAAAAAAAGGATATATTATATATTATATTGTTACTGCCTCAAAAATCTAGTATCAGTCAGACTGCAACAAAAAGACACTCCTTAAATGTAGTATGTAGTTGAGCATTCATTCAATTCCAGCTTTTGGTACTTAATAACTTTGGGTTCTCTCTTGAACACATTTTGGTTGGTACCAACAAA